GAGGCGTGGCGAGGGGGCTCGGGGCGGCTCAAGCCACCCGGCCCGGGGGTGCGGGGCACGGCGAAGGGGCCTCGCCGTCCCCGCGTCCGGCGGCGGGGCAGGATGCGCGGAGGCGGAGCGGGACGCGGGGCGGAAGCGCGGGGGGGTCTCCCGGTACTTACACCAACACAGACGAAGCGGCGGCTCCCAGGGGCCGGGGCCGGGCTCGCCCCTCCGGACATGGCCACGGCGCTCGTGGCGCGGCGGGGCTGCGCGGGGCTGCGCAGGGCCGCGCTGCGCGGCTCAGGGCCGGGGCGGCCCATGGCGGCTCCGCGATCTCCGCATCCGCGGCCCGCTGCGCCCAGCGGAGCGCGCCGCCCTGCGCGCTGCAGTCGCGGCCGCCCCGCCTTCCATTCACAAAAAACAAGCGGAGCCCGCCGAGCCCCGCCCCGGGCCGCCCCCCCACCCTCCGCTGCCGCGCATTGGCTCCGCGACTCGGGGGGGAGCGGGGGGACCCTCGGCGTGTCCCCCGTTGTGGCTCCGAGTCCTGCCGTGGGACCCCCAGTCCTGCCCCTAAACCTCCCTCGCAGGGGCTTTGTCATGTCCCCCTAAATCCGCCTTGAGACCCAGTCATGTCGTCTCACCTTGCCTTGCAGGGGGTTCAGTCTTGCCCCCACAATTCTGCCTTCGGGCCCCCATCGTGTCGCTAATTCTCCCCTGCTGGGGACTCTGCTGGGCCTCCCCAATGCTGCCTTCCATGCGACACCATCCTGGCCCTAAAACCCTCCCATACAGGGAGCTCCGTCCTGGCCCCCAATCCTGCACTCCATGGATCCCAATCCTCCATCTGCATGAGAGCCCTACCCTGCCCTCCATCCTCTGTGACATCCATAGGGGGGATGACACCCTCATCCCCCCTAAATATCACCTCCATCCTTCCTCTGCATCCGATCCCCCCTGCCCGTGCCCCCCAGTCCTGACCTGGGGAAGGGGTGCACCCTCTCCTGCATCCCTCTGAGATCTTTCCCTCTCCCCAAATTTCAGAGAGCTGCCAGCTCCCAGCTGGGCCATGTGTGATGCTGCTGGTGGAGGAGACCCCTCACAAGCCCCACATCCCCCCCGGAGCACCCCCAAACCCTCACAGGGCTTCTCGTGGTGAGGAGCGAACCTGCTCCATCCCTCCGTGCCCTCCAAGCACAGGCCACACGCTGCGATCCTGCCCTTTTACCCTTCTCTACATGCCTTATTGCAGCCCTCTCCTCCCCAAAATCTAAACCTTCAGGGCACCAAAAAAAAAAAAAAAAAAACCAAAAAACCTCCGAGTCATCTTTTGCAGCGCGGCTGCCGGGAAGGCGCCGCCGGCCGCGCTGCTCTGACCCCCGACATCCGCATCATGTGATGCTCGCCATCCCTTCCCGAGGCTTCCAGCCGCCTTCCCTGCCCGTCCCCGCCTCGGAGCCGCGCTAAGCTCGGCCCCCTGCACGGCCTGACTCCGTCCAGCTCGGAGCAGGCCCGTGCCGGGGCTGCCACTGATGCAAAACCCAGGCACAGCCCCCCCAGCCCCGCCGCCGGCCCCCGCCTCACCGAACTCGCAGCACGGGGATCTGTCTCTCCATAGCAGAAGGAGATGGAGCCGCTAATTTGGGGAGGGGAAAGCCCTTTTGGGTTTTGAGCCGGCAAAGAGGCAGCTCCCGGCGCTGCCTCGGTGGCCACGCCGGGACCGGGAGGAGGCGGCGGCGGAGCTGCGGAGCCCCGGGAGCTGCGGAGCTGCGGAGCCCCGGAAGCCGCGGAGCCCCGGGAGCTGCGGAGCCCCGGAGCTGCGGAGCCCCGGAGCTGCGGAGCCCCGGAGCTGCGGAGCCCCGGGAGCTGCGGAGCCCCGGAGCTGCGGAGCCCCGGAGCTGCGGAGCCCCGGGAGCTGCGGAGCCCCGGAGCTGCGGAGCCCCGGAGCTGCGGAATTTCTGCCCCGGGAGCTGCGGAGCCCCGGGAGCTGCGGAGCCCCCGGAGCTGCGGAGCCGCTGCCCCCGGAGCTGCGGAGCCCCGGGAGCTGCGGAGCCCCCGGAGCTGCGGAGCCCCCGGAGCTGCGGAGCCCCGGAGCTGCGGAGCCCCGGAATTTCTGCCCCGGGAGCTGCGGAATTTCTGCCCCGGGAGCTGCGGAGCCGCTGGCCCGGGAGCTGCGGAGCCCCGGGAGCTGCGGAGCCCCCGGAGCTGCGGAGCCCCGGAGCTGCGGAGCCCCCGGAGCTGCGGAATTTCTGCCCCGGGAGCTGCGAAATCGCTGCCCCGGGAGCTGCGAGCAGCCGAGCCGCAGAGCCTGGAGCTTTTCTGCTTCTTGGAGTGGGTCACGGGGAAGGAACACGTAGAGCTTGTTTGCCAGCCGCATGATTTGGCTTATTTGCTCTCTTGTAGCAGGTGCTTAATTGTGGCAGAAAAGGGTTCCCGGCAGCTTTCTGGGCAGCCAAATTCCCGCCTGCCCCTTTCGCAGCCAGGCAAAACAAAAGCACGATTGTCAACCGCAGGCGGAGCGGAGCTCTCTCGGGCCTCCTTCCCGGGAGAAAAGGTTTCCCGGCAGGAGAGAGCGGACGATGGAGGCACCCAGGTGGGCACGGGCCAGGGGAGAGGGGTCGGGAGCGGCTGTGGAGCGTGGGTGCTGCTCGCAGCCCCTCTCCTCCGAGGGAGGAGGAACACAAGTCTCAGCTGACTGTTCCCCAGCGAGCCCACGCTGTGGCAAAGCTTGGCACGGCACGGAACAGCACAGCATGGCACGGCTGCCCCTGGCACAGCTGCCCAGTGCCATCCCCCTTCCCTCAGCACCGCGATCTCCTCTGGCTGGGCTGTGATTAAAAGGCGTTTTGCTTCCCGCTCCCATCTCTCCAGTTTTAAACCTGTCCCCAAGGAATTCTGTCTGTCCGGCTCCGTGATCCTGACTCCACACCCCAGGCTGAGCTCTGGGGGTCACACCAAGCCCCCTGTTCACCCCACAGCATCCTCCTCCCTCCATCTCCCACTCCCCAGCCAGGAATGAAGAAGCCCTCAGGAGATCCAAGATACGAGCAGACATTGCTCCAGCCCCAGTAAAATTTTTTTGACTCTCCAGTTTAAAGCCAGGGCATTTCTACCCTTCCCAGGTGCTGCCAGGAGCCTGCCCAGCCTCACTGGGGACAGGATGCAGCAATCCAAACCCAAACCCATTTTCCTTATGCTCCTTGGATGCTCTGCAAACACTACAGCTTTCCTGGCTCTGCCCCCACCCTGCCCCCCAAATCCAGCATCGTTCACCTTGCAAGGGGCTGAAAGCCTGGCACAGACCAGGGCCATGCATCCGTCACTGGAAAAAGCAGATTTAGGAGAGACACCCCAAAAACCCCGGGCAGCCCTGGACTACACATTCCCAAAGCCCCTGGGCCCCTGCCTTTGCCTTCCTCTGCTGTTTTCTACCTCATCCACGGGGAACGGAGGCGTTGCTGTGGCGTGGGTGGGATGGGAGCAAAGAGCAAAGTCCCTGGAGAAAGTGGCCGGTGGAAGAGTGCCAGGAGCAGGGGCGGGAGGAGGCGGCAGGAGATACTTACAGGCTGTGAGCCATGGCTGTCATCTTCCCGGCGGGGCTGCCCTTCCCCGGGCTTTCCATCGCTTTCTCTTGGCAGGCTCTGCAAGGAGAGGGCGCAGGGATCTGTGAGATCACCCCGAACACGGACTCGCATCCTAAAGCCACCCCCTGCCCTCCCGGTGTCACCCCCCAACCCTGGGGACACAAAGGTGTTGGGAAGGCGAGTTCTGGGCTGCCCAAGCAGCGTCCTGGTGTGGGGACAGAGCTGTCCCTTGTCTCCCCATTGTCCCCGTATCTCGCTGCCAGCTCTGCCCTCCTCATGCCACCCTACGGATCAGCCGAAACGGATCAGTCCATGGAACACACGCACAGACCTGTCCCCTGCTCCGAAGTGCCACAGGGACAACCTCCCCTGGGCCCCGGCGAGGCTCTCCCAGCTCTCACGCCCTCTCCAAGCACCTCACCCTCGGGCTCAGAGCCTTCCCGTGGATCTGAGCTCCCTGGGCGGTGCCTGGCTCCTGGGGTGGCCACCAGGAGTCCCCTGGCATGGTGGCTTTGGCCAAGGCTCCGGAGCGAGGCAGGGCAAGGGGCTGTCCCTCCTTCCCTGCTGCATCCTGCAAACGTCAGGAGCAGAGTCCAGCCTGGGATTTGCTCCTGGCAAAGCCAGCAGAGTGCTGGCTGCGGGCGGGGAGTGGGTTCCAGGCACCCAGCACGGTGCTGGCTCCATCCATGGATTCACCATGAAGAGCAGCAAGGGTCCCCACTCTGGTTTTGCTTCTCTAAAATCCCAAATGCTGCGGTTTTGCTTCCTGGATGAGGCTACAAGAAGTCTCCTTGCTCAAAGCAGCTGCTCCAAGCACCCCATGGGCACCCCAGGCCCATCAGCAGCCAGGGAGGGAGGTGGCAGCTCCAAAAAAATGGCATTTACAGGCCCAGTATCCAACTGGAGCCAGGAGAAATCTTCAACCAGAACTTTGCCAAAATTGCAAAACCCAACCTTGATGGGGGAACAGTGGGGGCAAAATGACACACTGGGATGTGCCACCACAGCGGTGGGGAGCAGAGCCTGGGAAACAGAAGGAAAGGTCTAAAACAAGCAAAAAAAAAAGAACAATTTTGCACCTCCCATGCCCTGCCCTGCAAAAGCAGCAGGAGAGCCAGGAGTTTGGGGGAGCTCTGCAAATTCCCTGCGTGCAGAAATCCAGCTGGATGCCACGTCCCAGCCCTGGAATCAGCCACCTGCCAGGGCACAGGTGCCAGCTCACCCTGCCATCGATAGGGCCGCAGCACTCCAGGGACTCATCACTCAGCTTATAAATATTTAAACCCAGAAGGAGCCGTGTGCTCCTGTAAAACGCAGCTCCTTGCACGAGCCCAGATCCCTTCGCCCCAGCGCTGAGCTCATGAACATTTGGGGCTCTCCAGACGGATCTTTTGCAGCTAAAAAAACCAGGTCAGGGCGAAATTCAAGGTCTCGATCCATCCGTGCAGGATTCCTGCACCCTCCAGCTGGGATATGTTGTATTTACCACCCCGAGGGGTGCAGAAGGAGCTGCTGGGATGGGATCACAGCCGAGGCTGTGCTTCCAGCTGCTTGTTCCCGACACCCCAGGCAGGTTTTGGGGGGCACGGCCGGCCCCACACCCAGGGAAAGGCTGCAGCTGCACTGGCAGGCTGCTCCAGGCAGGATTCACAGTTTCATACAGCATTAAGAGCTGCTGACGCCTCGTGAAAAAACTGTGAAAAGCTTCTATTTTGGGCAAAGTTCCTCTTATAACGGCGCATCCTGTGGCTTCTCTGTTTCCCTTTTTCTCCTGGTTTCTCTTGCTACAGAGAGCAGTGCAGAAAATAGGTGGATAATGTTGCCAACCAGCCTGGGCTCTTCGTCAGAAAAGGAAAATAACCCTCCAAGCCACCCCCAGCCTAGGAATTCAATCTCATGCCGCACCTGGGTGGGGGCCTGGGGCGAGAAAGGAGAAAATGGGACCCTCCTGGGACTTTTTTCTGGGCATGGAGTGTTGGATATTTCCTGATAAGGAGAAAATGCTGGGTTTGATTGGTTTCGACCTTTCCCTCTGGTGTCAGACCTTCCCTGAACTCTCCTCCCTCAGCTGCTCCCAACCACTGTGGTGGCACCCGCTATTCCCCCATTAAAAAATAAAAGGGATTAAAACATTAAAGAGCCAGGAGTCTGTCTCCAAGCAACTGTCTCCAAGTAGGGATGGAGAGCAGAGAAGGAGAAGCTGAGTGGGGAGAAAACTTCTGGAGATCCCAGCGGGGAGAGGGAGGAGGGAACAGCAGGGAAAGAGAGAATGGAGGTGACAGCACTGGGAGCAGGCAGGAGCCCCGGGGCAGGAGGATCTCCCTCTTTCATCAGCCCAGCCCTGGTTGTGAAGCAGCTCCAGGGTTCCCAGAGGCAATTCCTACCCCAAGGGCGAGGGAAGC